TGAGGTTGCACACCTTGCCTATAATCCCCGTTTCAGACCGCCAAAATTTATACGACTGAGCGCTTTTTCTTCTCAGAACCAGCTAGAAATTGTCTTCCACTGTTAGGCAGTGTTGCTGTGTCGTTCTGGCTTCGACCTAAGGATAGACGCTTAAGGGGTGGGGGGGAGTAAATTTGTTACAAAAGAGAAAGAGGAATAGGTCATACAAAGGGCACCCCCTCCTAGGCAAGTGTATGTGAGGCTCTTTTCCATGCTGTAAAAAGATGGTATGGAGCCTCCGATGCGAAAAGATGAGCACAAGAAAAGCATGCACTCGGGGGGCTTGTATGAAAGGTGGAGAATGTGCGGAATGTCAAGTGCAATGTAAGACCACCAAGGACCTGCTCATACAACCAAGACCCAACCACCCGATGCTCAACACCCGACAATGTCCCGAAGAAAAAGCTCCCGGCAAACTGAGGCGACCCTATACGTCCCGCTACAGGCCCAGGGAGGGTTGAGGGTATCAAGGCGAAACCCCTCCTTTTCAACCAATAATCAGGCGGAATTTTTGGTCTCAGAACGTCCCAGAACCCTGGTGCTGGATGGCTGACGCCGGTGGGCCCGGGTCAGCACCTAGTTCAGTTCCGGTGTTGGGGGAGTGAGGAGACAGAAGTTGGGCTGGAACGCGCCCCATTTAAGAAAATCTGGAAGTCTTGCTTCAAGTGGAGGGGCAGTGTCGCAGGGGGGGGGGGAGTGACCGGGGCGGTAATGAGGGGTGGGAGAAGAATCAACACAAGCCGCGATCATAAGACAGTAAGAAAGCACAACAACTTACCGATATATACGAATAGAACGAGATCTAAGGCGCGTGCAAAAAAAAAAGGGGGGGGGGGCAACGGGGAAGAGGGTAAAAGGCTAGCGAAAGGGCGCGAAGCGAGCGCCCTGAACCGTAACTTAAGCGGCAACACACGAAGCTTAAAGCACCACGTCCGTGTGGCCATCCCTTGCAGTCCATCCGCGCCACTTTCGACGCAAGGAGACTCGCGGCGCCCCGTCGGAAGGCGCTCCGGAGGACGAGTCCCGCCGGCCGGCGATACCCCCATCCCGCCCAGCCCAGCTGCGCGGCGACAGGGAGCTAACCCCAGGAGGAGCGCAGGGGCGCTTCCTCCGGTCCCTGGAGCGCCAAGGAATTCGCGAAGTGAGTTATGTTGCCGATCCGCGTGGGGCGCCACTGACCCACTCCCTTCAAAAATCGAAACCCTGAAATCGACGCCGCAGCCCTTGGGCGTTCTCCGGCCTGCCTCCCTGGCCGTCCCTGCACCTCGCGGTGCGGCTATTTCCCCCCAAAACCTCCTTGCAAAGATTGTGGCCCTTTCCGGCGGTCTCGACGCGCCCTTCGCCCTATGGGAGCCCCGATGCTTTGACGGGGCGGCCGTGATGGCCGCGCGTGATGATATGCCGACTGCCGGCGGCGTCTTGATTTTCTTTCCGCGGGATGGGGCCTCCGTGTCCTGCCTTGGACACGGGCCAGTCCGAGCAGCCGCTCTGAAGGCGTCGGGAAATCGTTTCGGAAAGGCCTTTGAAAGGGCGAGCGAGTAAGTTTTTGTTTCGAAACAATTGAAAAGGGGTCTTGACGGTGGGGAGGGGTGACTGGCATCCGATCACCAGACGCAATGATGAAATCTGTGTGGAAAACCGCCCACTTGGCAGTTAACGTGGCTGTGCTGAGGTCAAACCCCAAGCCGCGGCGCCGGTTGAGCGGCTTGCGGTTCCTGGCAACGGACCCACACCGCCGGCATTGGATCGCGATCGCGGCTGCCTTGGATGCCTTGATGATCGCATCCGTCAAGCACTGGGGGCGGGGTGCCCGTGCACCCCAGCCAGAGGCGTTGCAGGGCGATGCGAAATTAAATGAACGGGCGAGTGGCACGGAGTCCAGCCCCTGTGCCTTGGTAAACGGTCCTGGCCAGCCAGGAAGCCCCGCATACCCAGCTGAGACAGTGCGTTTGGAGCATGCGTGATTGGCCACTGTCTCTACACCTCTGCCGGAATTCAGCCCAGCGTGAATGCAAGTGCTGCTTCCCAGCACTGCCCGATGTGTCGTGCTCTCAGGGAGCCTAGTAATATGGTGTGAAAAAGAGTTCTGTTGAGGAAGGAATCCCCCTAGCATAACCATTTTTTGGGTTTGTGAAGGGGAACAACGCAGCAGCAGCACAACCGGACGAACAGATTTTCAGACAGTCCAGTGGTTGCCAACGGATAATGGTATTTTCGTGACCATCCTGAGTACTTATTATCACCCATATGCCACATCGCCCCATATCAACTGTCTTCTCCATTGTATGCATTGTCGCACCGTTGTCTGCCATTAACTGTCATCTGCTACTTTGGGGCCATGCCATATGTGTGCAGCGTATTCAACTGGTATGTCCACACCAAATGAAGCAGTGTAATCAGACTGTGCAGCTGGAGATACAGCCAGAGCTAGCGGCCATACATGCCCCCCTGCTGTACTGTGTGGTTTGTGCAAGTGTATTGGGGGCTGCAAAGCAGTGCATCCTCCATTGTCCTCCATCCCCCCAGGTTGGGGGCAAGGAATTAAGAAGCATCCTCACACCATGGTTCTTCTAGGGAGTTCAGAGGTTGTGATGGCTTTTCCTGGTATCCTGCCTTTACTGGTTGACAGAAAGCATGGACGAATTCATTTTGATGATGGTAATGCTTTTGGGACCTTTTGTTGAGTTGGATTCTAAAGAGAAAGTAGTGTGCGAATTGCCCCAGATTGGCTTTTGTGAACAACTATGCTGGGTATTGTCACTTTGCATGGAAAAGTTCTTACATTGTGTGTTGTTGGTCGATACTGTGGTGCCATGGACACCTGCTGAAGTGGCTGTTGTCATGCTTCTTAATTGGTTGGTTGGAATGTGCCCTAGACATGTGTTCCCTTCAGCTTTGTGCAGATTTTTGTGTGCAAGCCATATTGTGTGATGTTTAGTCCCGCAAGAAATTTCCAGCACAAATGTGTCTTGCTCTGCAATATAATAAGGCTGGGGAATCTGCTCACTGCATTGCGATTTAACTCTCTGTTGAACAAAGTTGTGTGTGCTGAAAATGTGCTTGTTTCAGGTACCTGGATTGCCACTGCTGTATATCAGATTCCATTTCAGCATGGAAAGCTGGTTGCTCTTGGATACGTGTGCAGGGTAGTGGGTGACCATGGCATGGTGCTGGTGGGGTCCTGGAGGGGAGTGGATGTGCTATAACGAAGAAGACTCACGGAAGGTGGAGGATGCCTTCATTAGACAGACGCGCACATTCATCCTGGACACCAATGGCTATCAGTATGTCATCGACCTGCATGATATGTCACAGCGCAACACGTCAAGCGGACGGAAGCGCCAAATCTGGAGGTGCTCGGACGAGGTGGGCTGCTTGCAAATGTGAATGAACTGGTATGTGTATGCAGTGGGGTATTGCTGTTTCGCAACAGCTTCACAGAGGGAAAGCAACTCACCGCACCAGTCTTGCTCAGGATAGCTGCATGCATCCTCAGTAGGTGCCAACCTATCACAACGTTCACCACTCTGTTGTGTGTTGTTGCAGCTGGATAAGGTCACACATCATGTGATGCTACAGTCACCATTCTGAGAAGGGTAGCCCCTCCTGCCCTTGTAGGGTAGAACAGTGCGCTGAGAGATTCAGCAGTGTTGCACGTTGATGTACATCCATCCTGGGAGCCTTGAAGTCGGCATGTCGTTGCGAGCAGGCGCCAGCGTGGCCATTGTGTTGATCCCACTTGTGAGAACTCGACATACGCCACGGTACAGCCACACTATGCACAGTGCAGGATAATGAAGGCCAACTTGTCCTGCATGCAAGGTGCCAAAAGGGGGTGTCGTGTGTCCAGGTGCCCGATGGCGTGACTTTGTACACCTTCACCTGGGATGGGGAGCCTTACGACCTGGTGACTTGTGCCTACCTGTCCATATGCATGGCACAGGGTCGGGCAACGTGCTCCTTCTACATTTCAAGGAGGAAGTTCACGGTGGACTTCAGGGAGATGTTCCAACGGAGCACGGAAACTGGGAGGTTGAGATCTGTGGCTTTGGGCCCTGAGCTCAAGCCCATCCCTCGGGGCCGGTTGGGTATGGGCTCTTTGAGGAGGCGTCGAGCTAGCACAACTTGTGCATGATTCCAGATGGTGTGCTGCTGTGGGGCCATTATTTTACAGACTCTGATGTCCACGTTCAGCCAGAATACAAAGCAGGTCCAGTAACACTGGCTGAAAGTGATGCGGGGCTTTACAATGACACACGAAATGCTGTTATGTTGGGTATCGTGCATTGACACACTACGTCAGGAAAATTCATTATCAATCACAAAGAGGAGGGAAAGGAAAACACGACGCATGCGGTGTGGGCCACTAGGCTGTTTGCCTTTGTCTTCTCGTTGAGCAGTGGCTCAGGGCAGATCAGGACCGTGTCCCTGAGCACAGATGTGCCGGCCCGGCAATGCTCTGGTTCTTGAAGCTCCACTTCAGTACAACAGTCTATGGCAGCTGTCCATTTGACAACCTATCATTGTTTGTTTCAAAAATTGATTGTGACATAGCATTTTGGAAGAAAAAGATGCTGTTGGGCAAATTGGACAAGCAGGTGAAGCTTTTGGTACCTCGTTTTGTGTACCCACTTGTGCAGAGCTTGCTATGCCTGAAAAAGCCCAGTCTCATGCCATCGTGGTGTTGGAATGAAAAGTTGGGTGTGTCAGCACTGCCATATTGAGCGATCGAATATCTTCAGTGTACCAGCTGGTGGTGGTTGCCTTGTTCGGCAAGTGTTGTCAGCCTCAGCATTTCTGGCCTGTTATTGTGATGTGCATGGCACTGAAACACGATGACATCATCTGTTGAACAACTGCAGCAATGTGTGATCGTTCGATCGTTTGCTTTTATGGTCAGACACACGTGTGTGGCATATCGGTGTGTGTGATTCACTGACGAGTGTTCAAGTAGGCATGTGACTTGACTTATTGCCTTGTTGTATGAGGGTTCTGGGAGTGCCATTTCAGTTATTCTGAGCAGTGAGCTGTGGGTATTCTGCCCCCAAGGTGGCACATATGGATGTGTGCATGCAAGATATGATACAGACGATGTGGTATGGCAGCTGTACATGTCATAACATTCTTTCAGGCGCCAGCACAGCACTGTCTTTCGTTACCTTGAAGGTCTCGAAGTAATATTGTGTTCCATTGCTATGTTTCAACGATGTTGTGTTTCAAGCCTAGGCATGCAAAAGTCAGCCCTTTTGCAGAAGGTTGGCACTACCTCAGTACATTGTCACCAAGGGCACTGACGACAGTGAGCATCACATTGCATGTTGATTCGCCCACTGCAGAGCCTTGCAGATTTGCACCAGTGCCTGTGCATCACCAACATGGTGCACTGGCACTGGCAGTAAGCTGTCATACTTGGACGCCTGTTGTCATTTTATCCAGTCTTTGAGGGTTCACTTGTTGGGCCAGGACCTGCCCTAAGTTCTACTGTACTTGTCCTATGCATGCTGACTTAAACATTCTGTTGTGCATCACTTGCGGCCAAGCTGCAACATGCTAGGAGTGGAGAAGCTTACACTGGGATGACTCTTTGTGTTCAAGGATGCATTCACTCATCCGATGTGGATTCCCTCAGGGCTGCGCCCAGAGGATGTTGTGATGGAACATGCCACCTATGCATGCTGACTTAAACATTCTGTTGTGCATCACTTGCGGCCAAGCTGCAACATGCTAGGAGTGGAGAAGCTTACATTGGGATGACTCTTTGTGTTCAAGGATGCACTCACTCATCCGATGTGGATTCCCTCAGGGCTGCGTCCAGAGGATGTTGTGATGGAACATGCCACCACAGCAGAAGATACGTGCAGCATTTGCCTCGACGGTTTTGCAGACGAACCGCCAGTCCGCCTGAAGCTCTGTAGAGGCCACTACTTCCACAGGGCATGTGTTGAGCAAGCGTTCCAGCGCAAGTCTAGCTGCCCAGTATGCTCCAAGATCTACCAACCCCTGTTTGGCACCCAGCCACCAGGCCAGATGATAGTCAGGAGGAGGCACGACATGACACTGCCGGGCGTTGGATTTCCTGGAGCAATTGTCATCAAATACATCTTTCCGCACGGGATCCAAAAGCCTGAACATTACCATCCAAACGCTGAGTACATGGGTACCAAACGGGTAGCATATCTGCCATGGACGCGTGAAGGTAAGGCTACACAGAATGTGAGAGCAAGGACAACTCCAGGCAGAGACAACCGGAAGTAAAATTGCAAGCAGCATAAGAAGTGGCCTGCTGGTGGTGCTGACAGAGTACTCTGCCATGTGTGCATTCTCATGGAAGGGCGTTCGTTCTGAATCCTAGCCCAACCCACACGGAGCTGCTGCCTTTGGGGATGGCTTGGTATTGCGATGCTGGAACAGACAAGAGTTACGTCTGCTAATTCTTAATTGACGGTGTTTGGCAAGTATGGACAAATATCCCCCGGTCACCCACAAGCCGGTTGGAAGGCGACCCCTCAATCGCATTCAGAATCCAATTCGCTGCTGCGCGCTTGGTGGAACTTTCTGGACGTTTTGTAGCGTGCTGGAGCGCAATGTTCCTGATGCACAGACATAACACCAGCGCCAAGACGGGCACCGGTACAGTGAAGGAGATCGGTACAGAAACCGGCCGTCAGTGTTAGGATTTTAGGATTTATAGGGTTGTTTAAAGGTTTTCTAGTTGTTTGTGGTTTTAAGTTTTACGTTGTCCAGGGGTGGGGTGGGTGGGCTGTGTTAGGGTTTTGGTATCGGTCTCGGTACCCGTCTTGGTAGCTGTCTTGTGTCTGCATGTCGGGACCGCTCTCTGCTGGAGGAGCGTTGGAGGGGCCGTGCATCGCGGGCCGTTCAGCATTGTGTGCTGGTGACCAGGAGAGCAGGTGGCAGAATTGCTGCTCAGGGCGTTCCGCCACCGGTTGACCTTCGCCATAGGCCGCTCAGCCACCACCGGCCTCGAGGACTGCGTGATATGGAACGGCATCCACCACAAGACGAACGTGCAGGGGGGCCCTGGTAATCACGGGTACCCGGACAGCGGCTACCTGCAGCGGGTGCGCGAGGAGCTCCAGGCCTTTGGAATTTCATAACACCAGCGCCCTGTACTTTGTGTGTGCATCCTTTTAGTGCGTTTGTACGTTGGGATGAGCCCGGGGATATTCAAGGTGGCGAAGGCCCGGCTTGGATGCGTGAGCATTGGCCGCCAATGTATTGATATATGACAGTGCCTGGGTGTTGGGCCAGGGGCGTGTGCTTGTGTGAATGCGTTTCTTGGCCTACAACCGACTGTGTGAAGGGAGCGTGGGCGCGCAAAGTCGATGGAGAAGCGCTGGATGTTGCAGAGGCGCAACGTCGCAGAGGCGTGGCGTCGTTGGGCGTACGAGGCTTTGCTAAAATACATATGCTGAGAATTTGTTGGCAGGGAATAGGACCTACGGTTGCGCAGATGCCAGGGTAGAGTTGGGCAGGAGGTGCTACAGGTCGTCGCAACATTGCACGAATGTGCCAGAGTCTGAGGCGGGAGAGCACGCCGGTGGTGCATGGATATGTAAATGAGTATTGATCAGGAGGCGTGCAATGCCCGGGAATGGATGGGCCGTTGGATGCTGGATATTGGACCCTACGCATGTGCTTGTACTTTTGGAAGCCCTTGCGCTTCGGAGGGTTACCAGGGGAGTGCTGCCAGCCTGCCTGCCTGTTCTGGGTTTATTGCAAGATAAATGGGGCTGCCTTTGTCGTTTGCTAAAAGGTTCCCAGGATGACAGCATTGGCGATGGCGTGGATCGCTGGTGCGGGATGCCCGAGGATGGCCTCGCGTGACACTGTGGTTGGATTTCGAAAATCGTAGTTGTCTGTCGTGCCGGCTCATTGCGTTGCAAATGCACAGGCAGCAATGACGCTGTGCTCTTTCTGCGTTGAAACGCGCACCACTGACGGCCGTGGAAAGACGGCTCCTGGCGACGGGTTTCCATTCCTACCCTGCTCACAAAGGACAAACAACTTGGGCGTGTGCGCAGGCACTGCCTACCCTTTGATCGGTGCAACAGATACTGGCATGCCACTCGCCATTCCTCCATGTTCCAGGTGCCTTCACGGGTAGACACACCATGTTCCTGAACACCTGTCGGTGAACAACAGCTCTCGTCCACAAATGGAGAACCGACGATCTGAAGGTGACCACGTACGACCTTGCATGTGGACGAGTAGCCGTCTTCGCCTTGTCCAAAAATAAGAATGCCCAAACAGGTGGGCCAAAAATCGCCGATACAGGAAACGGAGAAATAAGCACACCCCTCAGGTGGGTCCTCAAGACATCCCTGCATCGAAAGCACCGATGGCTTCGCAGTTTCCTTCAAGTGGCAAGAATAAGTGTGGAGTTGCCTCCAGAGGCAACAGCGGTTCGTGTTCTTACAGGCTCTATCACTACAGTCAAGACTTCAGCACACTTTTCTATGGTCCTTTCCTGCTAAGTCCAGCGCCTGTGTGTGCTACAGTCCTCCCAATCAATCCTTAGAATCAGCCCTTAGAACAAATCTTTGCAATCAGCCCCACAGAACAAATCCAGCAGCTGTCATCATCAAAACCAAAATGCAACGCCCCAGAAGTTGGGCTGCATTTCCTCCCCTCCCCTGTGGCCATCACTCCCCAACTAGACATTGACGCAGCCTCTACCAATTTCTATGCACCAACAAGGCGCTGCTGCGTGCACAATGTTGCACACTAGGGCTGCCCAAACAGGCAAGAACAGGACTTGAAATCAACTTGTGCAGTGACATCCCCTGTTTCTGGGGCTGCCCAGAAGGAGACAAGGCTGCCCAGGTTGGGCCAGGGAGGCTTGCCTCTGTGCTGCAGCAGTAGCTGCGTCACAGAGTGGGAAAGCCCACACACGCCAAAACACCAACTGCATGGCTTTCGAATGAATTCAACAAAATTCCTTACGCACCCCACACGTTTGAACCGTCCCAAACGCAAAGTCAGATTATTCCAATACGTCCCACTTCTTAACACCTCCCATCCCTCAGCGTCGCCTTCGCTCACCAAAATTTTACAACCCAGCATTCATGCGGTGATACCCCACACCTGCCCTTCAACTCCTACCTACTCACCCGCATGCAATACCAAAATCCAGGTTGCCTTCCGAGTAAAAAACCACTGGCACAGCCGCACCACGCCGCACACAGAAGCTCCACCGGCGCCCAAGGGACCCAAGCCAGCCCAGCCAGTCTGCACCAACCACCGGGGCCCCCACAATCCCTCCCAGCAGCCAGGGACGCCCTCCCGTCCCCCTCGTTTCAATCAAGTCTACCCCCTATCCGGCCGGCCTCAGCCAGCAAAATCTAATCAGGGCCCCCCAGCCTAACCTTCTTGCTCGCCTCCGCCTCCTCCCCGGACGAAACCCCCCTCTTCAGCCCCCCCTCGCACGGCGCCAGCCCGCCATCCATCAGCTCAGCGAGCGCATCAGCACACGCAGCATCCCCCTGCTCACCCCGTGGCCTTTCCCCTCCTTCCCCATCGTTGCTGCTGCCACCGCCGGGCTCAACCACGGACTGAAAAGCGGCGTCGGCATCAGACCCGCGCTGTTCCCCGCTGGCCTCCCCCTCGTTGAGCCGCACCTCGGACCCGGATTCCGCCCCGGGCTCCCGGCCCTCCGCCTTGTCCAGCCGGCTCTCCAGGTCCTGGACCTTCTTCTTGAGCGACTCGATGTAAGTAAGCACCTGCTCCAGGAAGGCCGCCGTGTTGGCGCGCTCCGCGTGCGGCACCACCTTGCGCAGGCGGTCCAGCCTGAAACACCACGCAGCCACACAGCCCGGTCAGGGCACACTCGCATACGACAACCAGGCTCTGTATGCGACACTGGGACGGTACATCCCGCCGAATGTTCCTGGCCCCCCCATCCTTGCGACGCCATCAAGGCCAACGGCCACCCCAATCGCCTTCTCAAAACCCCCTTTCCCCTTCCCCCACACACACGAGTTGGCGGCACGCGCGGCAACGCGAAGCCCATGCGGCAAGACTCGACGGCTGACTACAGCCCACGTGACAGCGCCCGCCCTCCATGCACCACCCGCCACACACATGGCGCCGCACCTCTCGTTGATCCGTGTCCGCCGCCGCTGCTCCGCCGCCTGGTGCCTGGACGCGTAGTCAGAAGTCACCCGCCCCTCCGCCTGTCTCCCCATCCCTCCCCTGGCGCCCATGGCCGCGTCATCGCCACCAGGCACCGACTGGGCTGCCGCCGCGCCGTGGCCGCCGTGCAGCGGCTGCAGCAGCGCCATGTGCGGCAGGATCTGGTCGAACTGGCTGAACACCGCCACCTCCGGGTACATGCCCCCCTGCGGCGTGAAGCCCGGCACTCCGGGAGGCGTCTGGGGCGTCGAACCGGCGGGGGGGTACCTGGGGACGTCGGCGACGGCGGATCCGGACTGGCGGCCGGGCACTGGCCTTGCGTCCTCCCCGCCGCCCACGAAGAGGGGCCGGAAGGCGTGGCCGGGCTGCATGGCGCTCGCTGGGGCCGGCGCGAGGGGATGATGCCCAAAATTGTGGTGCTGGTGGTTGGCGGGGGAGTGGATGGTGAGGGTGAGGGGCTGGGGGGACCGGGGAGGGGTGGGGAGCGGGGCTTGGCGGAGGTGTGACAGGGGCTGCGCAGGCTTCGGCAGCAGGTTGGACATTCGTTCAGGGCGTCGTGCGCCGACGGGTTGAGATATTTTGGGTCGGGTGCGGGGTGTTTAATGCCGGCGTGGCGTGGCCTGGGAGGGCGGAACGCCGAGCGCCGGCAATTAGGGGATGTCGGGCGCGTGGGGGCTGCGTTAATGCCATCATCTGAGTGTTCTAGTGCGGATGAGCGGGAGGATGTCTGACCAGGGGTCGAACCGGGTACCTCTGGATGGGGTCGTCCCACTGCTCCACTCAACCAGCTGGCCAGAGGCAAGGAAGAGGGTAGTCCAACCCCTCAGCTGCCCTTCCACCCCACACAAGTCCCCGGATTCGATGTGGCAGCGCAAGGTGAGGCGGCCGAGGCACCAGTGCCTCAGCGGCGTGAAATTGAGTGTGCACCCAACACAGGGGCGGTGGTGGACATGGTCGGACATGCGTCGGGGACAAGGGCGATCGGCCCCTTTCACGGGCTGCGCATGGCTCCGCCCTGCCAGCTCATTGCCAAAAGTCACTTGCCGAATTGCTGCTGACCCCTCTGGAACGCCAAGCGTTGTCGATCGGGACGTTACACACGACAACGTTGCCAGCAGTAAGGCAACGTTGCTAGACGATTAAATCAGAATAACGACTCCCATGGACGGACAAGGAAGGACTAGAACAGCTTCCGGTAAATTCGTGGGGCCCCTAGGGAGTGACAGCGCAGTGCCACGGATTGAACTATGGCGTTCCTTGCATAACAGAGAGGGTCCCCTAAACTCCAATGGTTGGACTGAAGCGCCAAACATCAGATTTTTGTCACCACAACGCCATCAAGGCTTGTTGTTTGTGCATGTGGGTAGTCCACGTACGCGCCCTGTGCCACCGTTTTAATACTGATGTACGGATTGCTCTCATGAGCTGTTTATTGTTGATCAGTTCTCAGCACCACCAAAAATGCACGCAAGGGTATCATTGATTGATGTGGTCTCCTTTTTTTCTACAGACACATCGATTTAATAACCTATTCTGGAACTACCCTAAACTTCTGGCAGAAAAAGTTGTGCGCGCCATTCGTTCCTCTTCAAGGAAGGATATCTCGTTTCAGCAAACCACAGCTGAATTTGATTGCCAGCTATCCACCCCGTGCAAGTGCTGAAATCGCCTTTTTACAGCACATGCATGAGACTAACATTCTTCAGTTGCAACATTCACATATGCCGACAAGATCGGCGGACATTTTGCTTAGATTTTGCATTTGCTTCGGTTCATCCCTATTGCAGTAGAGAGATGTATCAATTGATACAACTTGGTTTCGGTCAGATTCTGTTCACCTCTGTTGAATCTTGTAATTTTTCGCCCATCCTGTTTGAGCGGCCGGTAAGGGGGCTTCTCCCCTTATGAAAATTATTCGAATGCGCATATTTCTGACACAAGCCAGAACTGCTTTCCGGCCCCTATCTCAAATTGTATTTGCAACCTTCCTTTGCTGTGGCATCAACCATTGGACAAACCCTGGCAAAATATTATATCACAACATCTCGGCGAGCAGGACAACTAGCATTTTGCCTTGAACTCTTCATAATCAATTCTTCAGTCCCGGGGACCACAAGAGTTGGAATTTGAGGTATCTGTGGAGGGGAACATAAAATTCCCATAGGAAGCATGCCGCAATCCTCATGCAATCCTCAATCTTTGAGCGATCTTCGAACTTTCGCGACCCGCCCAACTGGACCTTGGTTGATCTCGCTATAGTCCTGATACTGTGTTGATTTGCTCCAATCGCTTGTCATCAAATTTGCTCAATGAGTGTGTTGAGCATTACAACGCTGAGCTGCTCCCCGTCCTTAATGACGTGGACGAATTGCGGAAGGCATTTCACGTCTATTCCATCAGCCTGTTGTGCAGCAAAGACCGTTTTAGCCAGGCATTCACTAACACTCAGCTGCAAGCCAATAGGTTGTTAGCATTGTGGTAATTTGTGTTTACTTTTGCATCTACATTTATGTTTACACCTACGTCTATGCTTACGTTTACATTCTTGGGTTTTAGTTTTTACGAGTGAAAACGTAAAGGGAAGATGACAAAAGGGGGTCCCCTGCGGGGTTGCATTTGACAAAAGGTGGTCCTCTGACCTGCCCCTGTGCATTAGACGCGTTGCCAGACAGGGCGAGACCGGCTCCAGACCGGTGCCGTTCCGGCACTGGTCCGGGCGCAGACTGGACCATGGTCCCAATAGGGGCGATCCGTCTGGGAGGGCGCCATGGCGATCGGGATGTGAAGGGGAGCCGCGGCGATCGGGGCTGCGGGGGAGACCAAGCGGCAATCCGAGCTGCCGGAGAGAGCACACAGCAATCGAAGCTGCGGGAGGGAGTCGCAGCGATCTGATCTGCCGGGGAGACCAAGCAGCGATCGGGGTCGCGGGGAGAGCAAGCGGCGGCCGGAGTTGCGGTGAGAGCAAGCGGCGATCCAATCGCAATCGGAGATGCTGCCCACAGCTGTGAATGTTCTGGTGTGATTATTGTGGTCTGGACATTCGATGTCTGTGGGCTTTCTGGACGCTAAAATCTACAACACACAAGCTTTGCAAAAAAACACAATCCAAGCAATGGTTAAGCCGCAATTTTTGGACTTGTCAGGCCACCAAGTCTGATTTTGCCAACAACAAAATATGCATTGCATACAATGGTCACCAGCGATCTTGCCCATCGAACACAATCCATCAATCGCAAATCTCAATCGTTATCAGACAACTTTATGACCCCTTGACCCATGTGGTGAGCGGTAAGTGTGTCTCAGTTATCACTTATGGCACGAAACTCACCAAAAAGGCACAAAGCATTGTGTTGTGATTTCAAAATAACGTGCAGCCATTTTGATCCATGCATACAGATCCCATGCAATTCAACTTTATTTCTTCAACACATGCTCAGAAACTCATGCAACAATCACTCGTTCGTGCAACGCAGGTGAGCATGCATTTTTGAAATGCGCAGATTGAACTGAACGTCATGAGAAGCTAATGATTTTAAAAGAATAAAATCTTTTTGCTTGTGTGCCATCTCTTTAGATTTTCCCCCAAAAGTCATTTTTTAGTGACTTTGAAGCGGCAACACAATCATGGCATTGCTTGTAATGAGTCGCATACCTTTATGGAGACCAATTGCGTTTGATTGATACACAAAGGGCAGCAGCGTTCATTTAAATGGCATCGGGGTGACCCCACAAACCCCTACAACACCTCCAAGGGGGGAATTGACAAAAGGGTGTCCTCCGTGGGGTCGCCCCTGATAAGACCGGGTTGCCAACCAGCGCCGGTCTGGCGGCGGTCTGGCAACGCATCTAATGTACAAGGGCAGATCAGAGCACCCCCTTTTGTCAAATGCACCCCTGCAGAGGACCCCCTTTTGTCATGAAGGAACCCATTTCTGTCAAGATATCTCACAGAGAACCCTCTTTGTTCATTTTACCGAATGCAAATTTGCAACAGGACCTATTTCTATGGCTGCATTTACGTCTGCGTTTACTCATTTCGCCCTAAAAACATCAAAAAATATCTTTGGCCATAAAATGTAAACACAACTAGCTTTTGTAAAACCCAGGTTATGAGCATTGATCAACAGTCATTGTGAGTTCTTCTCAACGATAATCGAGTGCTGTTATTTTGAACAAAAACAGAACATGAAATGCAATGTGCACACCCCATAGACCGCCACCTCAGCAATAATTGAAAGGAGATAAGCTGGAGCACATAAAGAATCCAGTGCTATAGTACCCAGACATGTATCTCTCAAAAACCCAAAGTTATGAGATTATCCGAACAATTTTGCACAGCGTGGAAATGATGCAAAAATACAGCATGTCCCGGTATGCACGCACGGTAGCAAATTTGTTTGCTTCATCGCGACTGGAAATAACAAAGCGACCAGAAGTTTATAATGAATTACAAGGGTCCAAGAAACACTGGCGGAAGGCCAATTGGAACTGAAAATTTGAATGCGCCATTGGATGTCTCAAAACAACTGCACAATAGGTGGGATAGCATTTGCGAATGTATTGTCTTGAAGTCCTGCCGTGGAGCTTATAATTTGTAATGGATACAAAACTCACCAGAACACCACAATGCAATCGTGTGATTGCATGACAAATTGGTGCGTCAATCCCAAGAATCTGGCTCGACAAAATGAGTTATTTTCGCACAATCTGAGCGTCTGGGTTACCGAATGGGCGAATGCACAATATATTGACATTTGTGCGGATACCGATACTATGCAGAAATCTGCACAGTGTCATAAAATGACACCTATTCCTGACTCTCAGGCCGATCGTTTGACCCATTGCTCAACATTTTTTGGGAGATATACTACTGCAGTGTATCATATAATATAGACATGATGCCCTGCCTTACCAGTACTTTGTCGCCGCAGGCAGGAAGCCACGTCCCTACCGCATTGTTCTCCGCGCTCGTTGGGGATTACCCCCTCACATCCAGGTGGCGCCTGCCTTTGCATAGCGCCAGCAGAGCGTTGCAAACCGCGTCGACGCCGATGCCCGTCAGGCACCCGGAAACCTGCTCGCGCACCTGCGCACTGGGGCAGCTTTTAGCACTTCATGATACCAAAAAGAAGAGGGGTACTACACGGCATGGGGAGCTTTTGAATACAATGCATACATCACAGCGAGTTCGAGCAGCAAAAGGATGCCGCAGTTCATCATGCGAAAAGCTGTACCGTTTAGGCTTCGCCAGCCTTTTGCCTCGCCAACTCTGTGTCAGCTTGTTTGGGATCAATCGTGTCAAAGATGCCCGTTTTGAGCAACTTAGACTCTTACTTGCATCGCTCTAAGAGCGCGGAGATCTTGTATCAGTAGTGAAGCGTGTGTTGCCGGCACATTTTGAAAGACGCGAAGTCCATCAAGAAGAGATAAATTCACAATAAGCTTCCAGTGCAGCAGGAGTTTGCATATTGGATAATTCTATACCTGAGAGTGGTCTGTTTATGGTAGGCGAGGTCCAACCCACTGTCTGGAAGATTGAAGT